CTCTGTTTCCTACTTGACTAGTTTTGGCCTTCAGAAAAGTATTGGTTGGGTGCTTCAGAAAAGTATTAGTTTAAGGTGGGTTTTTAATACATTACTATTTAATTGAAGGTTGAAGCATTAGGTGAAATCGAACTCGCGACAAAGTTATTGTCCATTGACCCGAGATTGCAGGTAAGTCAGTCAGTCTATGTGGTTTTAAAGCATCAAATCACATCGTCGTATAGTTCTCTAATGGCATGACATCATTTCTTTGCAACGGCTGTAGGATGATCCTTTATATTATCACTACCAACAACTTAATTGTGGATTGACGCCAGTAGGCGCTGATTCAGAGGAGTTCTCTATGGTATACATTTCTGTCTTGTGAACTTCGAACGAACGTTTTTGATACTCGAGTACCTCAAAACATGTCTCATTTTTATACCTTTTGCTGTCTTCTCCTTGTACCAAAATCAGGTTGCCAACTACATGGAGAACACTCATGCAAAGACGCATTCGGGATACACAGTTGAGATTGCTCAACTATTTAAAGCTTCGAGAGCTGTTGAAGCTGATCGATTCCAACAGGTATGTTATGCTAACTATTGCAAGCTTGTATGTAAACAATTATTCTGATTTCTCATTTGGTCACTGTGAGACTTTTAACTTTTATTGGCAGTTCTCAAGTTCGAAGAACAGGATGCTACTATGGCATGGGTCACGTCTCACTAACTGGGCCGGTATTTTATCTCAAGGTAACAGGTTTTTCTAAATTTTTTTTTCTCTCTGTGTTTCTTTTTTTCTTCTCCCCTTGGGAAATTTTCAATTGCATAGTGAAGTAAACTAGTATTTGACACTAAACAGGTCTTCGAATAGCACCTCCTGAAGCGCCTGTAACAGGTTACATGTTCGGAAAAGGTGTTTACTTCGCTGACATGTTCTCCAAGAGTGCGAACTACTGCTACGCTAACAGTGGTTCTAATGACGGTGTTCTGCTCCTCTGCGAGGTATACGATCTTTTTCTCTCTTGCTCAGTTCAACATAATTTGGCTCTTTTTTTTTTAATGTTTTCCTAATGATCAACTCTTCTCTAGGTTGCTTTGGGAGACATGAATGAGCTTCTATATTCGGATTATAACGCGGATAAGTTGCCCCCGGGGAAGCTAAGGTACACAGATAATCTCATTCATATTTTCACACAAGTTCTTTATGGCAAATCCAATAGCGATGAATTATATGGTTTATTGACGGGTTTTCTAGTGTATATAAAAACTTGATTTGTGACTGATGATATTATTGCAGCACAAAAGGTGTGGGGAAAACAGCACCAAACCTATCAGAGGCTCAGACACTAGAGGACGGTGTTGTTGTTCCACTTGGCAAACCAGTGGATCATTCGAGCTCCAAGGTTTTTTTGCTTAGTTTCGTTTCAACAGATTCACAAAAAATCAAAATCTCTGAAAGATGTCAAATTGATTTTGATTTTTATTTTTGGTTTGCAGGGGACGTTATTGTACAATGAATATATTGTCTACAATACGGAACAAATCAAGATGCGATATGTGATCCAAGTCAAATTCAACTACAAGTACTAAAAACTTCTGTAGAGTACCTTTTGATGCTTATAAGTATTGGACTAGTATTTGTATTCGGCTTGGGATTTGACCCAGTGATTTACCCACAAGTGAGCTTAAGAAAGCTTTTTATTGTGCGGCTAAACATACTCCCGCTCATCTGAATTTGGGGACTTATTTATTAGGTTAAAAGAGAATGACGTTTTTTTTTGTTTACTTTATACTCTCTCTCACTATGTCACTAAAGAAAACGCAAGAGTACGTGGAGAAAGAAACCAAAACGAAATAAAGTAACAATAAATCTTAAATGAGTTGTTGCATTTGGTAAAGAGGAACAGGGATGAGGCACAAATTACTGTTTACTTTAACTAATATGTCGATGTTGGATACTCTACAGATTGGTGCAATAGCATCAGAATTTGAGAATTATATGTCTTTTGTACTCAATTATGAGGCACAGTGAAGATGTCGCTAGGTTTCTTGAATTTAACAGTGAAGACCTGAAGCAGGAGGCTAGACGAGTCCAGGTGGGTCCAGAAAATTTCCTCTTCACAATTTAAGAAAATTGTCGAAAAAACTTAAGAAGATTGTCTTTTTTTAGGAAAAAAAAAAAATTGTGCATATGTTACGTGCCAATGCAGGAAACGTATGACGTTAAAGCACAAAAACAGAGGAAAATGGGCAAAGCTCGTGCTAAAACGAGGATTGAATGTTAAATACGATGGAATTCGGGAAGCTATATCTGAACAACTTCAGATCAATGCTTTTTTTTTTTCGAGTTTACAGTCAAACAAAAAGGAAAATGAAATGTCAATACATGTTATTCATACTGGTTTTTGACATAACAACAGAAAAAGAAAAAAAAAAAAGAATAAGAAAAGCGAAACTGGTACGTAACACAATGTTGTCCCACACTGTAGGCATAAGCAAGAGCTACTTTAGTGGTCACTGCAACTTCAATCTAATAGGCTTTTTGCAGACCATAGTGAGCTTCCAAATGTGAACATATAATCAGGCAGTTCAAAGAGAACATTGAAACCTCTGTCTTGCAAAATTCCAAGAGCACGGTCCAACATGGTGTCTTTGAAGGGTTTAGAGATTACCAGGAAATTTGCTGGTCGCCAATGAAGTAACTCAGCCGATTCAATCAGGTCCACTGCCAAGAAAGTAATCTTTTCAGATTCATCCTCCAAAGTTTTGAAAATCACTCCAGCCTTATGATTGTCACGTGCCACCGAAAACTTGCTCTTACTACCATAAGCAGTCATTGACTCAACACCACCACCATAACCCTTGGCACTAAGAGTTGATCTGACATTATACCAAATCTCACTAGGTTTGGATGGGCAATCATCTACCAGCCAGAAGACGAGTACCGGTTCCGATGCAAGACGTTCACTCACTACACTGCGACCTAGTGACTTTACGCTTTGGTTGGTAAGCTTTTCTTTACAGAGCTGGTCAAAGCTGACAATGGTAGATGCATCTATCTCAGCACAGGTTCTAAAGATAACATTGAAACCTCTGCGTTCCAAGGCTTGGATAACACATTCGCACTTGGTGTCTTTTGATAAGTGTTCTGAGATTAGAATCATCAGATTTTGTGGTACATCATCGTTGTTCATTGCCCAGAAAACAATGTCCAATAACATCCTCGTAACTTTTGGATATTTACCCACTTTGGTTACGACTCTAGGCTTACACCAATAACCACCGTTATTTACATCAGCATTCCCGTAATCCATATCAACGTATGGCCTTATTAACACTTCATCACTATAACCCTTGCTGATGAGAACTGAGCCGAGAGTCGAAAAATCAAATGGGCAACCCTGGACATCCCAGAAGATGACTGTTTGAGACTGAGACCACTCTACACAAGAAGACAACGTATAAACAATTAATTCATGAACACAATTTAAACCCTAAACCCTTAAACCCTAACATATCAATCAACCAATGGCTGTGAATCATTTCAAAAAATATAAACAGAGAAGCAATATCAGGGAAGAGAAAGATCTTACCATCACAGTATTGGCGGTACAAAGAAGCTAGTCCACAAGAAAAACCAACAGTCTCCGTTCTGCTCTTTGGCTTATGCTGTAGAGTTATGCTTTGGTCGACAAGACTTAATCCATGATCTAACAACAAGCTTCTCGAAAGACAATCGAAGCTAACTACAGTATTAAGTTGTAGCTTTCTTGATGATGAGAGATGATGTTGAGCAGGCAGTGCTAAGAGAACATTGTAATATCTATCTTCCAAAGCTTCGAGGGCTTTGAGGAAATCCGTGTTTTGTTTGATGTTTTTTGAGATTACCATCAAATTTAATGGCTCGAAATAGGTCGCAGGATTTTCCATTGCCCACAAAACAATGTCCACTAACATACTATGAACTCTCAAATCATCATCATCTTCTTGTTTGGGAATAACGATGGTGATTCCGGCTTTCATATAGGCATCATCATCGAGCCATTCATCCCTCAAGTTTTTCTCATCCACATAAGCCATGATTGACAAGTCACCAAGACAACCTTTGCTCTCAAGAATCGTTTTCATATTCTGATAAATCGAAACAGGACCGAGACTACTAGGGAATGGGTAATCCACCAAGTCCCAGAAGACACGTGTGCTAGACTCGGAGGACATGGGTTCGTCGTGAGATTGGGACATGGGTTCGACGGAAGAAGTGGAATTAGGGTTAGACATTTTTTTGGCTGCAGAAAAAAAAAAACATTGGTTGAACTAGAAAATAAAAGGGCTTTAATTTTAAATTTAACTCCATCAGGTTATCCCTAATTATAACTTCGTATAATTGATTATATATATCTACTAAATTAAAACAATCTGGTTATAATAAAAAATATGTTTTGTGATTTGCAACTAAGAATTTCAGAATTAAACCATCTTTCAAATATGTTTTAAACATGCACACTCTCTTGATTGAAATTTTTTTTAGGAAATCAGAAAGAGAATCTATAGTAATAAAAATTAATCAAATAATTAACACAAATCAATCAACAAATTTTACAATCTTTTCTTAGTATATATCATGAATTTTTAATTTTGAGAGAATGAAACAAACCATGAATTTTACGGAAGATTTTTGGACAAAAAAGTTTTTGAAAAATGCACATACAATACCTTATTGTTACAAGTTTTTATTATTATTATTAAGTATGTAATTACTTTCCACACCCTTTGAAAATTAGTTCCCATGCATACAAATACATCTTGTCTTTTAGCTATCACACCAAATTTCCCTAATAATAATAACATTATTTTAAAGTTTAATTCCTGCAAAATTCATTAGAGAATGTTAATATTTAGTTATTTACAAACATGACTAAATGTCTCTTTTTCTTTTCAATTTACTCATTATATTTTTGGATGGTAACAAAAAAAACTCCCTGCTTCTTTTTAAAGTGTATTTAACGGGGTGAGAAACCCTACGAAAGTGTGTTACCATCTCGAGTCGTTGAGAAACAGAGGCAGCCATGGGAGGAGGATTGAAGAAGAGGAAATCTAGTTCCAAAACCCTAGCTAAGTCGATGAAGAGGAAAGGGCCTCACTTGCCCAACTCTATACTGAGGACTATTGCCAATGAGCAACGTCCCTTGAACTCTGACGAAGAAGAAATCGATATGATGGATTCCGATGATGGAAGCGGCGGCGATTTGTATGAGTACGAAGAAGGTGTCCCTGAAGAGGAATCCAGGAAAAACAACCGCTACGACCGCGTCGATAACTACGAATTCGAGCTTCCCGAGGATTACGAGGTTTTTTTTTTCTAACTATTACGAGGATCTGATGATTTTTGTTTTTCAAATCTGTTCCAAGGGAAATTGGCTGTTAGGGTTTTATAGTCGACAAGTAATGTTGTTTTGGAGACTCCTAATAATTTAGGCTGATAGTTATTTTAAAAGGAGACTTGTCTATTGACAAGTTCTGGACTTTGTTTAGATCGTCTCTTGTATTCGCGATTGAGATCAAGGTTTCATACAATATAAAGTTGTTAATTGATTGATTGGTAATGAGATTACTACTACTTTCGATCTGGTTCTTAGCAATTTGTATATGCCTTACCGGTAAACATCTCTGTGTAGGATGAAAACGTTGAGTCAGATGATGATGATGATGATGGTGGGAACAGTGACAAGGATGAAAATGCGGAAGGCGATGATGTTAGACACACACGGATGTTGCAAGCCGTCACTGGAATGCCAAGTGCAGTCTTTGAAGGTAAAAATTGAGTCTTTCTTCTCAATTTTTTTGCTTATATCTGCTACTTCTTTGCGTTTGTAAGCTCTATATATAATCTAACCCTATGCTCTCTCTCCCTCTTTTTTTTTTCTCCTTTCAGGTGAGAGTAAGAGAAAACCTGTACTCTTCACTGAACCATATCCAGAGTCTGAATTCAATCCTCCCCGTGATGTTCTGGAGGGTAAAAACCTCATCACAGTTGAAGACCTTTTGAAGCCTCTTGAAGGAAAAGCTGGGTATCAACAACTAAAGAAGAGGGTGTCCCGGATGAAGAACGATACTAAATCTGTTGTCCATGCTCCTTTGCCGAAGCCAGAACGAGAGAGACTGGAACGGAAAGCAGTAAAAGGAATAGTTGAGAAGAAGTTTAGTAAGTGGTTGCATCTGGTAAAGAGGAACAGGGAGGCACCGACTGTTTACTTCAACCAAGAAGTCGATCTTGGATACTCTACAGTTGGTGCAATAGCATCAGAATTTCGACCCAGGACTGAATTTGAGAAGAAAATGGCTTCTGTACTCAATGATAAGGAGGTTTTGGAGGCCCACAATGAAGATGGGGCTAGGCTTCTTGAATTGAACGAGGCGAGTTCTGTGATCTAAGTTCATTCTCTGCAGGCAGCTTATTTGACTTATCGATTGATCTGTCTTGTCGCTGCATTAATCATAGTTAATATGAATTTCTGATGTAACTGTTTGGATTAAATTCTTATGTGGCAGGTTTCCATGGAAGACCACATCAAGTTCCGTGACCACATTGCTAAAATGAGGAGCTTTCTCTTCCGTCATGAGCTAAAAAGTAAACGAATCAAGAAGATTAAGTCTAGAACATATCGTCGTCTTAAAAACAAAGACCTTAAGAAATCGGCAGTGGGAGCATTAATGGACCCAGAAATGGCTAAAGAAGAGGCTATGAAGCAGGAGGCTCAACGAGTCGAAGTGAGTCTAAATTTTCATATTCACAATTTTTCATCAAGACACTATCAAAAGAGTAATAAATTGTCTTATTTGTTCAAATGTTACGTTTATGCAGGAACGTATGACGCAGAAGCACAAAAACACAGGAAAATGGGCAAAGCGCATGATAAGCCGTGGATTGAATTCGAAATACGAAGGAACTAAGGAAGCTATAGCTGAACAACTTCAGATAAATGCTACTTTGACCAGAAAGATGAACTCCACAAAAGATGGAAGCAGTAGTGATGAGAGCGACTCTGAAGAAGAGTTGTATGACGGTTCAGATCAGGATACTGAAAATTCTAGATTGATTGCAAAAGCAAAGGAAAAGACACTGAAAATTCTGGAAGATGATGAAGTGCCCAATTCTGGTCTTCTGTCATTACCGTTCATGGTAATTCTTGATTTTGCTTTCTCAAGACATTTCTGATTATTTTATCTTGGTTTTCGTTCATTCATGTGTTGTCTTAATTTTGTTGTTTTGGTTAGGCTCGTGCTATGAAAAAGAAAAATGATGAAGCTAAACTTGAATTTGAGGAAGAGTGGGAGAACTCTGGTGGAGCAGAAAACCCTAAAAAGTCTGCTAATGTTGGTGGTAGAAGAGTATTTGGTGCAACCGCTAAAGTCGAACCTCTAAAAGAGTCTAAAAAGGATTCGGACAACTTTTACGATAACAGTGATAGTGACAACGATATGGTTGGCATAGAAGCTGATGACTTAGAGGCTGTAAAAGATAATGATTCACCAGCTAGAAACACTGGAACCATTATGGAGACCGAGGTACCTTGTTTTTCCTGTTTGGTTTATCGTAATGGTTCTTTCTTCTCTCCCTTTAAAATCTCTGATTACAACTTCTTTTGTTTGATTTTCTGCAGAAGTTGGATGATGTTGTTGGAAGTCCAGCATCTAAGACGACATTTGATGTTGCCTTATATGCATCAGGCTCCTGGAAGAAGGTTTGCTATGAAATGAAATTAATCAGAGTTCGTCTCTTTTTGTAATGTATTTTATTGACTCGTTATTTGTATGTTATTATGCAGATTCCAGGCTGCAAAAACGCAGATTCCAAAAAGGCTTTAAAGACCCATGTACCTATTTCGCAGGGCCAAGATAAAAAGGTTTCTTTTCTTCAAATCCCATCGGAACTATACTGTTTTTCCTTTTCTTGTCCTTGCAGTTTCAGCTTTCAGCTGGTCTTTTCTTTCCTCACTGTGTCTATTTCTCTTTAAAACCATCAAAGCGATCGAGAAATGAAGAAAGTGATGATTCAGAGAGTGATGCAGAGCAAATGGTGGATGGGATTTTGACATCTGCTTCAAAGGAAACCTATGAAATTCCTTCTCAAGCAGAGCTTATAAACCGTGCGTTTGCTGGTGAGGACGTCGTAGATGAGTTCGAGAAGGAGAAGCAAGAGGTTCTAAATCAGGAGGTTCCTGAACCTGAAAAACCGGTTCTAGTTGCTGGTTGGGGACAGTGGACCAATGTCCAGAAGAAGAGAGGTTTACCTTCATATATGGTTAGAGAACACGAAGTTGCCAAGAAAAAGAGAGAGCAAGCTCTCAAAACCAGGAAAGATGCTCGTTTCAAACATGTTATCATATCAGAAAAAATCGATAAAAAGGTCAGTGTCTCACTCGATTAATAGCCCAATCCCTCTGTTCATAACCATCCGATCTCAAGCTCACGTTACCTGTTTTTGACAGGCCGAGAAACTTCATACAAAGACTCTACCTTTCCCTTATACATCAAAGGAAGTTTTCGAACATAGTATGCGTATGCCTATTGGACCAGAGTTTAATCCCGCGACTGTTATTGGAGATCTAAACCGGCCTGAGGTTGCTTTCCATTACTTTGTTAAACTCTCATTAGTACCCTCTTTTTTTTTTAAACATTGTGGTGATTAACCTTTCGATGCAGGTTGTGAAGAAAAGTGGGATTATAATTAAACCGGTCAAGTTCGAGGAAGTGAATCCAAACGAGAATGTAGATGATGAGCACCCTCGACGCCATCAGAACCAAAAATCCAAAAGGGGTAGTAAAACTAACAAAAGGTCAAAGCAAAGCCAAGTCTAGATGAAAGACCAAAAGCTTGGCTCAAAGATTTTTGCATTCTGAAACTTATTTAGACACCATTCCCATGGGAACAGTTTTGCTGTGTAGCCTGTTTTATTCATAAACAAAAAAAGACATTTCTGTTTATTTCAGAGCTCTTCAAATCCTTGTTCATCTCCATCTTCTTCAACCCTCTCAAACTCTCGTCTCCAATTTTCCATCTGTGAGATTTTTGTTAATTGCAGGAAATGACCAAGTTATGAAATACCTAACTGAGTTGTATCTTAATTAAAAGACAATTATTATTACCTGATCATCTGAAAACCTGAGCTGTTGCGCGAGAAACAGAATCCTGTCATGGTTTACTTGTGAATGTAATACAACGCCTAAACTCACAGCGATCTCTTCATAGCTAACTATCTTCACCTTGAAACCGTTGCTCATGAACAGCTTCTCCATCCACTTAGTCAAATCCGACTGCACTCGAACAGTAAAAGATTATTAAAATATTGAAAGATGGATACTTAAGGTAAGAGTCCAAAGAGAGGTAAGAGTCCAAAGAGAGGTAAGAGACCTGGAGTGTGATATTTGTAGGCAATTCTCCTATGAGATAGCATTCATTCATGGCTAAGCTACTAATCGCTGATAGCATCGCTTCGAAACTCGATTGTGACTCAAGAGGTAAGCCCTGTTACGAATAGGAAGAATCATGTAAACATAAAACATTCATGAGTAGTGGAAAGATGATGATACACACACATATATATACCTGCATTGCCCATATACTTGGCCGATTCCCGCTAAACCCTTTAGAGCGTAAACATTGCTCTAAGTTTCCGGATTCCACAGGAATGTGAAAGAATATGCAACTTTTCGGAATCCTAGCTCCCACATCTGGACATGGAAACGTATAACAATTCCAAACATAACTATGAAGCATTTAAAAGAGGTCTTGTAGTGATAACAAAAATGGACCTATTAAAGCAAATGAAAGCACAAACCTTTAAGCTTGTCAGATGCTATTTCGAACACCTTTTCCGGTGATACATCAAAGATCATAGTCGAAGTTGGCCAATTAAGCCTATAAGGTCGAGTGTCCATGCCATCTGTGAACAAGACAACCTGCAAAGATGTGATATTACTTGCGCAAAAACAGTTTAACTAACTTCCCACTATATAAGTCTAAAGAGAATTTATTGGATAGACTGTATTAAGTAAGTAAAGTAACCTGCTTTAGTCCATCAATGCGTTTAGCTATATGTAACAATTTGTCATCTATGAACTTTGTTGCAAGACAATATTGTTGTCGTTGTTCATTGAGGTTCAATTCCTTGTTCGTGTAAGGAGGTAAGAAGCAAGCCGCATATGGGTCGATGAATAGAGGCTCTGTGTGCAGAAATCAGAAAGCTTTTTGTCAAAATTTCTTCAAGAAAACCATTTGTTCAAACAATAAGGCGCTTGCTATGTGTTCGACGAAATGAGTAAAAGAGACAATAATCAGGTATTCCAGATATTGAATCTTACAGATATTGAAAAATGAATTCTTTGAATAGAAAAAGAGATGAGAGGGAGGGAGAGAGAGAGATTGCCTGTTCGATTGGTTTCTCGCAGACGAAGAGATGCTGAATGAATAGCTGATTGAATCAAAGGGTCATTATCTTCTCTGAGCTCTGCTCTCGCCGAACGAGTGACGGACGTCGGAAACCGACGGCGACTGAGCGTGGTGGCCGGAAAGTGTTGAGGCGGAACACAGAGACTTTGCATTAGTGATGATGATTATCGTTGACTTTTTGGATGATGAAAGAAGACAGCTAAACTTATACTTCTGACGGAAACAGAGGTTTACAGTTTTTGCTATTGAAAAGACTTGGTCGTGATTAAAAATCAAAGCGTTGTTTCTCTTAATCCTATTGAAAACTTGGCAATGATGGAGCATTGTGTTGATCCTAGAGATCGCTAAGTATATGATGAATGCTTACTTTTGAAGCTCTTTTCCATAAAATCGATGCATACCCATCTTGATCAGTATCTCTGCCATAAAATATTAAGATGGCATGCGTGAAGTAAAGTTCACCCTGTAATTTGTAAGTCATTAATTGGTCTAATCTAGCGTTTTGTTTATCTTATATTTGATGTTGTGTGGGTACATGTAGGTTCGAAAAACAGATTAGATTTTCTATTCAACCAGGATATGTGTATCCTCAGCTGCTTCCTGTCTTACAGATTCATAGCATGGATCATAATAATATCTATCAATGTTGACATTGTGGCGTTGGTTTTTTAGGTGTTAAGTAGTTCCTTGTCTTCTCTAGGACTCTCTAGTCTTTGTGAAACAAAGTGCTTTAAGTGCTTTTGCTTATGTTTGGTACTAATGGAATTGTAATGTTATTGTATGAGGCTGATGTTTACCTCTCTTAGCCTCTAAAACTACATCTTGGGTCACTTGTCATGTTTTTCCTTTAAATGGTAGTTAGTATACTGAAACAGTTTATGCTAGTCTCTTCTCCGTTGTCTTGGGATTTTTGTAAGCTAGCTAAGCTTGAGAGGAAGTTGTGATTTTAGAACAATGACCCCAAGATTATGTAGACTTTTATACAAAAAAAAAAAAAAAAAAAAATTATGTAGATTAAGTGGTTAAGACCATTTCCAACCATGCACCAAAACACCAAATTTGGAGTTGATTATTTTCCAATGATGCAATAAATCTAACACCATTTTTTGATGTTTTGTGAGCACCAAATTTGACGTAACAATATTCACATCACCAAACATTAAAATATTTTTTTTTATTTATTCATATAATTATATTATTGTTTATTAATTAACTAAATTATGTTGGTTTAATAGTGTAAGATCCATTTTGTAATATGTTGGTTTAAGAGTGTAAGATCCATTTTGTAATTTAGAATTGCACAAAATATCGTTATTAATATGTAAATAGATTAAGATTAAATATACATAATAAAATTCAATTAAACATTTCAACATAAAATTACTGAATTAAAATAAAAAGATAGAAAGAATGTAAATGTTATATCGAATTTATAGTTAATCTATTTTATAAATAATTAAAATTCATCAAAATTATTAAAAAATAAAGAAAATTTTAAATTAAATAATATAATAATATAAAATATTATTTTTAGTGTGAGATTTGATCTTGTGGTTAGAAATAAAAAAAATACTATTAGAGATGACCGTAAGGGAGGTGAGATTATAAATGATCCTGCTGGCTCTAACCACCTTTTAAGCATTTAAATAAAGTTACCACTCAAACCCAATTAATCATCGAATTTGTGAACAATTTATGAAAACTAGGTGTTTAGCCCGCGACTTGCGCGGGCCAAAAATTTTCATTAAATTTTATTTTATGTCATAAATCAAAAATAATTAGATCAAGAATTTGATACATACAAAATTAAAATAAAACTAACCTATGAAAGTAATCATTGTCTAACATTAAAAACTTTAAAATCAATACTAATAAGTGTATGAAATCAATAAACATAAATTAAAATAAGATTAATATAAATTATTTATCTTGTTCTCTTTTTATCTTTTAATTTTTTTTTCTCTATCATTTTCTTCTTTCTTTTTTTTTTGTTTTTTTGTTTTTTTTTCTTCTTTATTTTCTATGTCTTTTTTTTTTACTTTTTATTCTGCTGATTTTTTTTTCACGTCTTCTTCTTCTCCGCATCTTTTCCTTTTTCCTCTCATACATCTTTTGATTTTCTTCTCTTTCAGGTTTTATTCCCTTTTTTCTTATTCTTCAATGTTTTATTATTCTATTTCTTCTTCCTTTTTTATTTTCATTTTTCATTGTCATTGTCTTCTTATTTTTCTGGTGTTTTTCGGCTTTTACTTCATCTTCATATTCTTATACTTTCTCCAATTCCTCATCTTTTAAGTTTTTCATCCAATTTTTTCTCTTTCCTATCTTCTTCTTCTACTTTGTCTTCTAATTTATTTATTTTCTCCTTCAACAGATTCTTATTCCTCTTCTTCCAATTATTCTTCCTCTCTCCAAATTCTTCATCATATTTTAAAGATTTTTGTCTTATCTGCCTTTTTACTCCTCTCATGGTTTATATTTTCCTTTTTTTTGTTTTTTTCCTTATATTTTTGAGTTCTTTTTTTTTTATCGTTATTTGTTTTCAAATTGTTCTTCTTTATTGTCTTCATTTTTTTTACTTCTTATTCATCTGATTTGTCTTCGTTTTTTCATCATATTTACTTTTTTCAAATTTGTCTTCTTCATCTTCTAGTTTTCTTTCATTTTATTATTTTTTCTTTCACTTCCTCTACTATCTACTGGTTTTCTTTTATGACTTCTTCTTCTGATTATCATTTTTTTTTCTCCAATTGGTCATTTGATTTTTTTTGTTCATTGTCATCGACCTATCCGACTATTTTTTTTATCTTACTTGTTCACTGTA